AAAACAGCAAAGAGATATACAAAAATATGCTCTCTTTGGAAAAAAACTAATTTGACATTAAACAAGAGATTTCAGATCGCTGAAATAATGTTGGAAGGATAAATATACGTTAATTATCTGGAATGATTTAGAACTGTGAAAATTGTTCTTCACCTCTCTTACTAGATGTATGTTAGGGTTCCAGCACTGAGATCTTGTTAAGAGTTACATTATTTTAGTAACAAAGTTTATTTTAAAGCGTACAGTTAACAGGACAAAAAAAATAAAAATAAATTGGCAGACGCCGTCCCTACGGCCAGCTGCAAGTTTTAGCCACCTACTCCCTGTGGAGGACAGAGAAAAACAAATCTATTGGTGAATTATCCCATTTCCCCCATCTTCAATCGATGCTCAGTGCTTGCTCGCTCACTGCCAGAAGATAAAGGAGGCCAGCAGGCACAGAGTTCACTACCAGAGTACCTCACTCTAGAACCTGTTACTAAACAAAACTGAGTTAATATTGATGGGAAGCTTAATCTCTCTTTAATGTTGCTGACCTAAGCCTGACAGAATTAAAAAAATTAAAAAGATTTCAAAGATTTGCCGCTCTTTTTTCCTTCTCTGACTCTCCTCGTCTGCACAGGACCTTTTTTCCTTCTCTGCCTCTCCTCGTCTGCACAGGACCTCCCAAATTGCACCACCCCCTCATGGATTACCGCTCTCCACTGGGAACGATCCTAGGCAAGGTTCTCCCAAGTGTCGATACCGATGCCTCACACTTTCATTTTTGTCTTCAACATGTCCTTAAATCACTTCCTCTGGCCCCCAACGCTCCTCCGTCCTTCCTTGAGCTCAGAAGAGTCTGTTTTGGGAGGCGCTGATCAGGCAACCAGACCATGTGACCAGTGAGCTCGGAAGAGTCTGTTTTGGGAGGCGCTGATCAGGCAACCAGACCATGTGACCAGTCCAGTGAAATTGTTGGTAGATGATGATGATAGCTTCAATGCTGGTCATGTTCGACTCTTCCAGGACGCTAGTGTTCGTGCGTCTGTCCTCCCAAGGGATATTTAGGATTCTCCTGAAGCAGCGTTGATGATATTGTTCAAGTGCCTTCAGGTGACACTTATATGTTGTCCAGGTTTCACATGCATATAGCAGTGTTGGAACAACCACTGTGCAGAGTTCTCAAAGACCCTTTGTCTCAAGTGGGCAAAAGCAGAGTTTGCGCAGCTCAGGTGATGCTGGATTTCTGCGTCAACGTCGACTTCGGTGGAGAGATGACTTACAAGGTATGGGAAATGCTCCACGTTTTCCAGAAGATCTCCATTAACTTTAATAAATGGTACATGAGATTGTCCCATTGGCGAGGACTGATGGAGCACCTCGGTCTTTTTGATGTTCAGTGTGAGGCCGAGATTCTCATATCTTTCAGTGAAGGCACTTAAGATGGTCTGAAGAGCTATGGGGAAAAGAGCAGTGACCATATTTGTCATTCGCGTACTGGAGCTCGATGATCGAAGTCATGGAGGTCTTGCTTTTGGCCTTCAGTCTCCTGAGGTTGAAAAGCTTCCCATTTGTTCTATAGACTATCTTCACGCCATCTGGAAGCTTGCCGTCAATGAGATGGAGGGTCATGGCAAGGAAGATGCAGAACAGCACTGGGGCAATGGAGCAGCCTTGTTTGACTCCTGTTTTGATCTCAAAGGGGTCGCTTTGGGATCCGTTGTTACTCAGTACTGTGGCAGTCACATTGTCATGAAGCAGCCAGAGACTAATATTAGGACAGAATTTTATACATGTTGTCTAAGCTGACTTGCAATTGACTGGGACTTTTATCTGTAATCCAGCCTCCAATATTTGCGCAAGTGAATTCAAGAATGCTTTTGCAAACAAGAGCAATTCCATAAGCATGAAGTGTTTGTAAACTACAAAACAAAGTTAAAGCTTACTTCCTCTCCGTGGTACAGTGGTTAGAACCTGCTGCATTCTTGGAAATTCTTTAAGCTTTATAGGGTAAGTGATGTGAAAAGCTAACAGTTGGCCTCCATTTGTTTGAAGACTTATTGCTGATAAATATTGAGGATACTTTGAGCTAAATTCTCAAACCATGATCTTTGTTTGTGCATGCACAACTCTTTCCGTGAAAATGCTTGAAAAAGTGGTATTTGTGCTCATCATACATTGTGTAAACAACTCTTAGGTCTGGCATGAGTACGTGGGACTAGACTAGATGACCTCTTCAGATCCCTTCCCATCCTACGATAGATATGATTTAAGAGACAAAACTGAGTTCCAATAGAGTTCTAAGTGTGAAAGTTGTGTGTACAAGAGATAATGCACAAAAAACCTTTGCATATATGAATTGCGCACACAAAACTGCTAGCAAATGCAGGTTGGCTACTCTTAAGAAACTGAGTATGGATGTCCAATGACAGAAAAGTAAATACTTAAGTATCGGCTGGCACACAACTAGCAGCACCGACAAAGACAACTCTTTTCCCACAGTATGAAGATAATTTAGTAAGTGCTAAATCCTGCTTTTAGAGTATATGCACATGCTGGGCTTCCACAGGGCTCAATGGGAGCTGAACTTACATCTGGAAACCCTAACAGAAGCATGTGTTATTGGTGCTGTGCAGCGTGTTGGAATGTGGTCAGTGTCAACAGCAATCAAAACTAATCTGTCTTTCTATTTTGTGTTTGGTAAGTTTACAGTGGTCACCTTCATAAGCTTTTCAGTTGCCTCTGTAACTAAACATGGCCAGAGTATTCCTTATGGTATAACTAGGTAGAAGGAACACTAAGAATCATAGCCAATGATGTTATGTTAGTCATCCAAGACAAACTGGAAGCTTTCAGGATAACCATACTGTAAATGTGTGCATGCACATGTGTGTGCAAACATGCAGTTATTGGCTGTCCTTTTAAAAAGTGGAACACCAAAAAGCAGTGCTTTTAATGGACAATCCAGGAGGTAAACCACAGCAGACTCTGGGGAATACTCACAGCTCAGTAATGTTACAGGACTCCAACATGAATGCTGATCACAGTTGTGTTGTCAGGGACTCCCAAATCAAGGTGAGAATCCATTAAAAAAATGCCAGCATTGAAAGCTACTACACAAGACTGAGATTTAATGACAGGGATTGCACTGGTAGATTTTCACCTTAGTCTATAACAATTTTCAACTCTTACAGCTTTCCCACTTATACCCTCAGCCGTTATCAGAACACTACCCATTCCACCTGGGAGGCACAGACATCTCCACCTGAAGCCAACAAATGAGGAATCTAAAATCTACTACCTCTGACAGGTATCATATACATTGACATTACCTTGGCCATTCATAAATAACACCCAAAAGGGGGAGATGACCGAGTATGTGCAGGGAGTCCTCTGTGTCATCTACCCCACTGGTTAGACAGGCATAGTTATGTCTCTTGGGGGTGTGGAATGCTCCCATCTGTGATAAAAGTAGTTATGCCGATGTACGCTTGCAGCGTAAACCAGCCCTGCCACAACCCAGCTTTGGAAGCATCCCCTGAAATGCTCTGCCCCTTCACATCAACCCTGACTTTAAGTGTTGCTACTTTTGCAGCCTTGAGTCCCTGCATTCTCCGTAGTGCACACTGGCATGCCGGTAATGGTCATATTGAGATGTGGAACAAACTCCCCCAGAGAGGTACATGGATGGGGCCACAGCAGAAGCCACTAAACTCATGTGTGCCTAGGAACTGGGATTTGAAGCCATGCTGTCAAAGAAGAAAGCTCAGCATGCTTATCCTCTGTACAAACTGTACTGAAGACACTATCACCAGAGATGAGACAGTCTCACAACATTTGGATCTGGGTCCATAATTCCTCAAAGGTTGGGGATATTTGGCTCTGAGGCTTTAGGTTTGCCCATTATAGAAGGTCTGAGGTTTTAGGTTTGCCCATCTGAGGCGGCCAGACCTGAATTCGGATGCTAACTCCCTCACCGCTGAGGAAAGTTCCCATTCTGGGTTTTGGTTTGGAGCCTTCCCTCTAATCACAATATTCACCATTCCAAAAATTGTCACTGGAATCCAAGGATATGCGGGTGGGGGAGTGTTAATGGATAAGAGGGAATATCCCCCATACACAACCTCACCACTATTTTGATATGAAACAGCATTAATACTCAGCATGGAAATGCAAACTGCAGCCACATGCATTTGGAATGACCATGCAAGAGAAAGCAAAGATAAGCAGTTGAAAAGTACCTCTGAAGTAACCTTGTTAGACAGTAATTTACAGGTATACTGGTGGAAAGGAAAAGACCAGCATTAGTACAGACATGTTGAATTTGGAAACAAAAAGAAACAAAAACACCCCCCTTGGGAACAAGACGTAAAGCTGTATGGACCCGTGTAAAAGGTTAGTTTTTCGATTTGTTTTTAAATGAAGATGCTTAGACAATTGCCATCAAGTTTACTCTTATTGGTCAAACTATTTCAGTCTGGCAGCTAACCATCTTCTTACCCTCATCTCCTACCCAGTGGCTTCTTCTTCCAAAGACACAACTAGCAAAAGCAAGAAATGTTTTCTCTCCCGATGCAGTGAAGTCTTTCAAATGGCAAATACACTGGATTTGACCATTGTCAAAGCAGCCTGCTCTGACCTGAAAAACCAAAGCTGACAACACCTACAGGAGCTGCCATGTTGAGCACAGCATGCTGAAATTAGAGCAACACAAGGAGCCATCTTGTGCCACTTGAGCAAGTAGCATCTGAGGCCCTGATCTTGCATACACTGACTTTGCTGCTATTTATTATGTGTTGCAGGACTTACACATGTGGTTAATTTTAAGCACACGAACAGTTCCATCTAACTCCGGGAGGTTGGGGGAAGGAGCTATTCACATGTTAGAGTTTGTAGGACTCTATTCAGCTTTGCTTCATTTTGTGTAACCCAGCAGAAAGGAGAATTTAACTTAACAGAACTGATCTTCCAACAATTTAGAAAGTCTCTTATTTCCCTTGCATTCAAATGGTGAGCTGAGCCAGAGACCTGCTCTGCACGATTCGATTTTCAAAATGGCAGCTTCTTGTTTGCCCGTTAATTACACTTTTTTCAGTATACTGTAGACACTTGAAAATGGTTCAGTGATTTGCTTTTGTATATAATTAGATCCTGAGATTACTCTCTTTTGCCTGAAACTGCAATTTTAAAGGCATCTGCTGACAAATCAGAACTAGTGGGTGTTTAAATAATTATTACTTAGCATGGCACATAAAATAGTGGCTCTAAGGCTTAGCCTGGCGAAGCTACATCTTTATCTTGAAATTTCGTAGCCCACACCCCTGCCCCTTCTTCAGGAGTAGTTTACATAAGGGAAAAGGAAAATAGAGAGGAGAAAGAAAACATTCCAGATGTTTAGTGGAGGCTCACACTGGTCTTTCAAACACAGCCCTGTGAGAAGATTTTAGACAAGCAGAAAGGGGAACAAACAAATGTTTTAAAAAGCTGGGCTCTAAAATGAGCTTCCAGAACACGAGAATGAAAATAAACTTGGGCCACACTTTCAGTGAGAGTCAATCAGTGTAGCTCCTTTAACTTCAATGGAGCTTGCCAGTTTATCCCAGTTGACGCTCAGGTGCTAAATGATGCTAATAGGATGGCAGTAAAAATTCTAATTAAACAGAGGCTTTTAACAAGTTTGTCATCACTGAGCTGCTGGCATACCCAGATTTCTGTTTCTATGTCCCAATGCTCTTCATTTGGACCAAAGTTCTCAGATAAGACACGGAAGTTCGTTTAAAAAATGGACATAAGAACATAAGAACGGCCGTACTGGGTCAGACCAAAGGTCCATCTAGCCCGGTATCCTGTCTGCTGACAGTGGCCAGCACCAGGTACCCCAGAGAGGTTGGACCAAAGACAATGATCAAGCGATTTGTCTCCTGCCATCCCTCTCCAGCCTCTGACAAACAGAGGCCAGGGACACCATTTCTATCCCCTGGCTAATAGCCTTTTATGGACCTAACCTCCATGAAATGATCTAGCTTCTCTTTAAACTCTGTTATAGTCCTAGCCTTCACAGCCTCCTCCGTGAATCCCGCTCTCCCAGGAAAAGGGGCTCAGACTCAGAAAGGCAGGAATGGTCTTGCTTTGCACTTTTCCCATGCTGAAAAGGTGGGCTCCATGTTAAAGCCCCAAGAGCACTCCAGGCAGCCTGTGACCATAACACATGGGCATGGGGATTCTGCTCCCCAGGAAGCTACACCTTCACAAGACTGCAGAGGAATGAGTAAGGAATTCCTTCCGGTGTTCAAATGACCCTGATTTACTGAGTAAAGCCCTGTTTTAACCTTGGATGCTGCCATAGCATTTGCTTGTGTCCCGGGAGAGTAAGATATTCTGTGTCTTATTTTCTATCCCTTTCTTAATAATTTCTAACATCCTATTTGCCTTTTTGACCGCCGCTGCACACTGTGTGGAAGTTTTCAGAGAACTATCCACGATAACTCCAAGATCTCTTTCCTGATTTGTCGTAGCCAAATTAGCCCCCATCATACTGTACGTATAGTTGGGGTTATTTTTTCCAATGGACAATCTTGGCCAACTTCTTTTCAAAAAGGCAGCTAGGCAACTCCACTGACTACAGGGGGGATGCCCTGGTGTAACTGAATAGAGTCTGGCCCTCAGCAAGAAGACATCCCTATGAAAGCAGTGGCATTCACATATACCACACAATAAACAACATACAGCTAGTAACAACTGAATGACTGCAACAAAAGGATTCCAGTCATAAGCCTGGTAAGTCAACCTGCCTGCTACAGGGAAAAGATTGTGATGAGACTGCAATCAGACCTTCTCCCTTAGCAAAGCAACTTCTGACCCATATCAAGATCTAAAGCCAGAAGGCTGATTTATAAAGGCCATATAAGGACTGATATTCCTCTCCCTTTTTGCTGGTTTTGCTTTACTAAATTAAATGACGTTATTCCTGGTTTATAGCCACAGGAAGTAAAAGAAGGAGATCCCAAACCTCTTGGGTGAAAGGTTCGATAGCATCACCCGACAAGAATCAGAATGGCACTATACACAAGGAGAAATTCTTAACACCTCCTCGTGAAAACTACCACTTGCACACAGGGGCATCTGGACACATTGTACCACCTCATGAAAACAATCACTCGCACACACTGGACTGCCTCTGCTTCTGTTGGGAACAAGACGTAAAGCTGTATGGACCCGTGTAAAAGGTTAGTTTTTCGATTTGTTTTTAAATGAAGATGCTTAGACAATTGCCATCAAGTTTACTCTTATTGGTCAAACTATTTCAGTCTGGCAGCTAACCATCTTCTTACCCTCATCTCCTACCCAGTGGCTTCTTCTTCCAAAGACACAACTAGCAAAAGCAAGAAATGTTTTCTCTCCCGATGCAGTGAAGTCTTTCAAATGGCAAATACACTGGATTTGACCATTGTCAAAGCAGCCTGCTCTGACCTGAAAAACCAAAGCTGACAACACCTACAGGAGCTGCCATGTTGAGCACAGCATGCTGAAATTAGAGCAACACAAGGAGCCATCTTGTGCCACTTGAGCAAGTAGCATCTGAGGCCCTGATCTTGCATACACTGACTTTGCTGCTATTTATTATGTGTTGCAGGACTTACACATGTGGTTAATTTTAAGCACACGAACAGTTCCATCTAACTCCGGGAGGTTGGGGGAAGGAGCTATTCACATGTTAGAGTTTGTAGGACTCTATTCAGCTTTGCTTCATTTTGTGTAACCCAGCAGAAAGGAGAATTTAACTTAACAGAACTGATCTTCCAACAATTTAGAAAGTCTCTTATTTCCCTTGCATTCAAATGGTGAGCTGAGCCAGAGACCTGCTCTGCACGATTCGATTTTCAAAATGGCAGCTTCTTGTTTGCCCGTTAATTACACTTTTTTCAGTATACTGTAGACACTTGAAAATGGTTCAGTGATTTGCTTTTGTATATAATTAGATCCTGAGATTACTCTCTTTTGCCTGAAACTGCAATTTTAAAGGCATCTGCTGACAAATCAGAACTAGTGGGTGTTTAAATAATTATTACTTAGCATGGCACATAAAATAGTGGCTCTAAGGCTTAGCCTGGCGAAGCTACATCTTTATCTTGAAATTTCGTAGCCCACACCCCTGCCCCTTCTTCAGGAGTAGTTTACATAAGGGAAAAGGAAAATAGAGAGGAGAAAGAAAACATTCCAGATGTTTAGTGGAGGCTCACACTGGTCTTTCAAACACAGCCCTGTGAGAAGATTTTAGACAAGCAGAAAGGGGAACAAACAAATGTTTTAAAAAGCTGGGCTCTAAAATGAGCTTCCAGAACACGAGAATGAAAATAAACTTGGGCCACACTTTCAGTGAGAGTCAATCAGTGTAGCTCCTTTAACTTCAATGGAGCTTGCCAGTTTATCCCAGTTGACGCTCAGGTGCTAAATGATGCTAATAGGATGGCAGTAAAAATTCTAATTAAACAGAGGCTTTTAACAAGTTTGTCATCACTGAGCTGCTGGCATACCCAGATTTCTGTTTCTATGTCCCAATGCTCTTCATTTGGACCAAAGTTCTCAGATAAGACACGGAAGTTCGTTTAAAAAATGGACATAAGAACATAAGAACGGCCGTACTGGGTCAGACCAAAGGTCCATCTAGCCCGGTATCCTGTCTGCTGACAGTGGCCAGCACCAGGTACCCCAGAGAGGTTGGACCAAAGACAATGATCAAGCGATTTGTCTCCTGCCATCCCTCTCCAGCCTCTGACAAACAGAGGCCAGGGACACCATTTCTATCCCCTGGCTAATAGCCTTTTATGGACCTAACCTCCATGAAATGATCTAGCTTCTCTTTAAACTCTGTTATAGTCCTAGCCTTCACAGCCTCCTAAAGCTGCAATGGTGTGAGAACTTTGCCTTCTGAGCATCTGCCGTGAATCCCGCTCTCCCAGGAAAAGGGGCTCAGACTCAGAAAGGCAGGAATGGTCTTGCTTTGCACTTTTCCCATGCTGAAAAGGTGGGCTCCATGTTAAAGCCCCAAGAGCACTCCAGGCAGCCTGTGACCATAACACATGGGCATGGGGATTCTGCTCCCCAGGAAGCTACACCTTCACAAGACTGCAGAGGAATGAGTAAGGAATTCCTTCCGGTGTTCAAATGACCCTGATTTACTGAGTAAAGCCCTGTTTTAACCTTGGATGCTGCCATAGCATTTGCTTGTGTCCCGGGAGAGTAAGATATTCTGTGTCTTATTTTCTATCCCTTTCTTAATAATTTCTAACATCCTATTTGCCTTTTTGACCGCCGCTGCACACTGTGTGGAAGTTTTCAGAGAACTATCCACGATAACTCCAAGATCTCTTTCCTGATTTGTCGTAGCCAAATTAGCCCCCATCATACTGTACGTATAGTTGGGGTTATTTTTTCCAATGGACAATCTTGGCCAACTTCTTTTCAAAAAGGCAGCTAGGCAACTCCACTGACTACAGGGGGGATGCCCTGGTGTAACTGAATAGAGTCTGGCCCTCAGCAAGAAGACATCTCTATGAAAGCAGTGGCATTCACATATACCACACAATAAACAACATACAGCTAGTAACAACTGAATGACTGCAACAAAGGATTCCAGTCATAAGCCTGGTAAGTCAACCTGCCTGCTACAGGGAAAAGATTGTGATGAGACTGCAATCAGACCTTCTCCCTTAGCAAAGCAACTTCTGACCCATATCAAGATCTAAAGCCAGAAGGCTGATTTATAAAGGCCATATAAGGACTGATATTCCTCTCCCTTTTTGCTGGTTTTGCTTTACTAAATTAAATGACGTTATTCCTGGTTTATAGCCACAGGAAGTAAAAGAAGGAGATCCCAAACCTCTTGGGTGAAAGGTTCGATAGCATCACCCGACAAGAATCAGAATGGCACTATACACAAGGAGAAATTCTTAACACCTCCTCGTGAAAACTACCACTTGCACACAGGGGCATCTGGACACATTGTACCACCTCATGAAAACAATCACTCGCACACACTGGACTGCCTCTGCTTCTGGAAGAGGCAGAGGACATTGGAGAGTAACTCATTCTTGAGTGTATCCTCACTGGAGAAGGCAACAAACCATGTTAGTAAGGTTTTTTGTGTCAGATGAAGTTCCTGTGAGCAGGTGAACCTGCTTAAGGACTTGATCCTGTTCCATTGAAATCAGTGGCAGTTTTGTCATTGTTTTCAGTTGGGGCAGGCTCAGACCCTAGCCAGAAATGCATCTGCCTGGACTTCAGACCCACTCTTCTACTTTTCATTAACTCAGAACCCCAAATGGAGCGAGGGCCTTTTACATTCCACTGTTACAAATCTGAGGTCTCGTATGCTGTGGATTGAATGTTGAACGGCAGCATACTCTGTGGGTTACTGTTTGCAGAGTAAACTTTAAAGACGATAGTCATAACAGGGCTGAACTTCTAGTGGAAGTGCTCAGAAGGTGGTTTCTGTAGATCATGAACTCTTTGGACGGGGATGGTCTATCTTAAGTGTTTGGAAAGAGTCTGGCACAGAGCAAATAAAAGCAAACAACAGCCAACAGTAACTATTAACAGTTGTATACACACAAGGGTTTATACCATGCACACGGCATCAGCCAGGAGCGGTACCTCTAAAGTCTCAGTACATTGAGGAGAGAACAGTTTGCTTACTATATGTATCTGAAGTCTGACTGGCAATATCTGTGAAATTCATACCCAGGCCCCTACTGCGAGGAACATCTGATTGTCAATGCTAGTAGTTCACGAATGTGCACTTCAGGCACCTATATGAAGAACTCGGAGCAGAATTTTAGTCAATTTCCCCTTTCTGCTTGCAGGAAAGAACAAAACAGACTCAATGGGAAACAGCATTCTGTCCACTGTAAGTCCAGGATCCCATTCCACAAACTCCTAACCACACCTTGGAGCAACCCAAGACAGCATTCCCAGGGAATCCATCCGAGGTCTTACAGTGAACCCAGAGCATGCTGGGATAGGACTTGGGGAGACTAATGAGTGCTGGGTGAACACTTGTAGTGCACAGACATGAGCAATTAGGTTCACACCGCAGTCACATAGCTCATCGCAGGGTTTCAGTGAGCAGTGAATTCACATGTGACTCTGATCACACAGGGCAACTAGGAACAGTTTCTCATCATAGGATTGCCACTATGATCGACTGATTGCTCCCCCTGACACTGCAGAGTTTTGTTTTTGAATTCTTTCAATATCTCTAAGGCACTCAGTGAACCATTCTGAACAGAACACATGATCTTTAAGAGGCCAGATTTTCTCCTATCTACTGCAGCAATCTGCCTGTAGCGAAACACACACAGAAGAGTGGAAGGGAAGAATGTACTTACACTGCTGTCATCCATCTTCTCACGCCTCTTTGTTTTGTGTGTTTCATAATCTTCCATAAGAGTCTGCATCAAATTCTTGGGCCTCTGGGATCCTGCAGCCTCCTCAGACAGTAGGTCAGACTGGGAGAGGGGACTTTCTGTGGTTGGGGAGGGAGGAGGCCTGATCTTCTCTATCTTCCCTGAAACGACATGAAGGGAACCCTTTCTAAATGGGCCGATTCCCAAATAGTTTCCAACTGAAGATGCAGCTTGCAAAAGGAATGAGTTGGAGCAATATATCCAGGGTGGGCTGAGCCACGAGAAATTCAGAAACGTAGTCGGTAAAGTAATATATTAAAACAAACATGGCCAAAGTGAGTTTCAAATCCTGCCCCCGTTTCTCCCTCCTGACTTACGCAAACATTTCAAAATTCTTATTTCAGAAAACCTAGCAAAGCTGTCAAGTAATATATACTAGAGATTTGCTTGAACATCACCCTCTACACCTAATGTTTCACTTCCATGTTCAGGAAATACATGCACGTTTAAGGAAACAGCTGGATTTTTTATTACTGAATCAGACACTCAAAAACCTGCGCTATTTTTTCCCCTCTAGTGCTAAGAGTTCCACATGCTCCATGGAGCATTTGTGGTTCACGAAGGGCTGTTCAGTTACATGGTTTGGCTCCTTCTCCTCGTTTCTAGACCTAAATTGCATGAAAAGAGCTAAAACTACCTTCGATACTTTTTCTAGCATTTTCTTTTCCATGCAACTAGTCTATGATTGCCAGTGGGAGAGGAAGGTGATTGGTGATATACACTCTCTATTAAGATGTAGCCCAGGTTATGGAAGAGTTTGTGAACGCCATGTCCATTGGTTAGATGGAAAAGCTAGGAGCCAGAATGAATTAGGGCTGCAGCTCTGACCGAATGCTTAGGACTTAACTCCCCTCTCTGGCTACTGCTCTGCATACTGTGTGTCATCTTCCCCCTCGCAGTTCAGCTGCAGACCAGAGGCTTTCATGCTCCAGGTTGGCAGATACTGGGAGATCTCCAAGGAGAACAGGTTGTGTCTTATGTCACCCTACAGTGACCCTTCTGGCTTACTGAAGGGTGGTGACAGCAGGCGTGGAAGAAGCACTGTAGCCTGTGTCATCTGGAAGGATGAGCAGCATGACTGCAAATCCCAGGCAAGGAAAGGGAAGAGGATGGAGATAAGATCTTGAGGGCAGTGAGACGAGGGAGGCCTGGTTTTTACAGGAAGCAAAACAAATAAAGGGGAATTCGTCTGTTTTCCCCTAAATATCAGTGACAGTGAGGACAGGAAATGTAGAAACAATGTCAGACCAACTTTCTCCTACACATGGAGGTTCTTGAAAACAAAACCACACACAGAAAGAAAGGGTCTTAACTGGAAGGGTTGGGAATGGATTTTTATTTAGTCACAGGCAATTCACAGAATGAGTCATGAAAGCTGCAGCCACTAGAGGCCGCACACACAGCAAATCATTGGGTGCTCTGTATAGACTCAATAGGGTTTCTTCTTTAAAGAAGTGAAATCTGAGCCAAGCCAGCAGAGACCTTTTACCAGAAATCCCCTCGCTGAACTTGTTTCATTTCTGACCCAACATGGAAAATCCCAGCCCCGTGAATAACTAACATGCTACACGCATGGTTTGAATCGACAAAAATAGAGATTTGGCTGGAAACTCCATTCCCAGACCCACTGGGACGTGCCTAAAAATGGGAAAGGGCCTCTGCGGGTTGTGAGACTTTCTGTGCCTTGGGGTCAGTCTCATCTTGATCGCCCCAGAATAACTCCACAGACGTCACAGACTCGTCCCAAGGTAACAGCGAATGTGCTCCCTTTCTAGCATGGCAATATGTGCTAACTAGGGCTAGGGGCGTCCAAGAGAAGAAAAGCAACTCCCATCCTCTGATGGAACGAGTGGAAAATGGTGTTTGTTTTAAAAGCCAAAGGTTTAGGGCTTGATTCCCCACTGCGTTTCTACACTGGTTCAAGTCTGTTGGGCACACGTGGTGAAGCAAGGATGACTCAAAGCCCTCAGTGTTCCCAACAAGGCCTTTGGTGTTTTCTCCGTCAGGCATAAACACCCTGTCACCTTTACAAAGGCTTAGTGCTGTACAAAACACTAACTGAAAGCTGTTCCTTCTGCCCCTAAGCAATCTCAAGCTCTCTGCCTACTGGAAAAGCCTTCCAGGTGCAGGCTTTGGGGACCTGATCAAATGAGACAAAAGAAACATCTCCAGGTGTTCCCCACCCAGGTGAGCATGGAGCTCTCCATAAGCATCCACAAAATCACCCGTTTTCTCCTTCAAACTCTCCATTGCGGCGATGCCTACACAACTCTTGAAAACAGTTTGGCTGCTGGTCTGCTGTGTCCACTAGCTACCATGCTGAGCAGTGCAGTCTCATTGTTTCCTTGCAGAGTGCTGGCTGCATTCATCTGTGGTCTCTTGTATGGTACATTTCTTGGGACAGGGAAAGTCCTTTTTGATCTGTGTGTGTGAGTGCAGCACCTAGCACAATAGGGTCCTAGTTCATTTCCTATAATGCCACGAGGAGTCCATCCAGGCAAGTGCACAGTTACACATACATCGCACTGCAGTATCATTATTCCCTTTTTATAGATGAGGAAACTGAGGCAAAAAGTACAGAGATTTGCCCAAGGTCATATGCTGGCTTTTCCATTCCTTTAAAAAAGCAACCCAATAAATCCAGAAAGTGTGTGCACTGTTAGTGACCCGCCAATAACAATCTTGAACAGTGGTATTTGCTGCCACATCCTGGGTTGCCAGCTAGGCTCATGCGACGTGGCTTGGCATTTTGTGCAGCTCGTGCAACGTGGCTTGGCATCTTGTGTGGCTCGTGCAACGTGGCTTGGCTATGTTCAGTTCTTGTGTAAAGGCTGCAAAGCAAAGTTGATATGCTTCTCTCCTTTGGGAACAGGATTCCTATGAGTTAACATGGAGCCTGGAAGTTAAAGGGTTAGGAGACAACTCAGGTTTCCATGCCAGAACCCTCACTGACTTCAAGGGGAATAGGAGCAATCATGATAAATCACTATCCACATCACAGCATGTTGGTTGCATTTCTAGTCTTCCAGCTTTGACATATCTTCCATTGAATACGTGTTGTGTTCCCTAAGCCCCATCATGCTTCCTTTGGAGGGGTTACAGGCTGCCAAGAAAGGGCAAAGAGCAAACATTGTAAACCCCTCTCTTTAGAGTCACGTTTCTTGGTACGTCTACACGGCAGCATTATTTCAGAGCGTCTATGCAGCTAGCTCGTTATTTTGAAATAATTTCAAAATGGGCAGCTTATTTCAGTGTTGGTAAACCTCATTCCACAAGGAATGACGCCGCTCCTGAAATAGCTATTTCGGAATGGCAGATGTGTGGATGCTCCAGTGCTGCTATTTTGAAATAGCCCCTCCCTCAGGCCATTCAAAGTAATTACTCCCCAGTGTTTCTGAGGGCTCTAAGCTGAGGTAGCACATCCACATTAGGGGAGCCTGCCTCGGACTAATTTTGAGGCTTCCCTGTAGTGTAGACGTGCTATTTCGAAATAAGCTATTTCAGAGTACTTCTTCCGGAATAGCTTATTCCGAAATAATCGTGCAGTGTAGACGCAGTGTTGTTCTTTTACATGGACACTGACAAGGAGAAAAACAATTGCATGGCGCAGTTCCGCAGGGGTGGAGATGATGGTGACCTCCAAATTCTTGGAAGTGGAGGAAAGTTACTCAGAAATGACTCCCCTCTCTCTGTTTCCAGTTTATGAGCAGCTGCATTTTCAGCCTCATGCATTTTTTGGAGTGTGCGTGTGGGGGGGCGGGGGAAGATGTCCTTGCAGGAGGGTGCTCAGCCATCACAGCACAACTGCCATTCCTGCCAAGTTTGGTGCCAGGAGGATGCCCCCTAAGACACCTGTGCCAAGCCAAGGAGCATCAGGAGCTGAGATTCTTTCTTCTATCCAAACCTCCACGTAAGTCTGGGGAGAAATGGGAGCCTGGGAGAGGGAGCCCTTTCCCTTTTTGGTTTTCCAGGGAGACCAGGGAACTATTCCTCCCTTCCCAATCTCTACACAGGTGAGCAACAGAAGAACGGATTGCCCCATTTTCCCTCACTAGGAAGTCCAGAGGGTGAAAGAGCAAGCGCTTGGGCCCTTCACTGCCTGGGATTCCTCTGCAGGTCCCAGGTTGGTGATTAGAAGCCACGATGCCTTACACCGCAATAGTGCTGCTGAAAAGGCTAGGAAACGGGAGCGCAAAGAAGAGTGGAAGGGTGGGGCACCAAGGGTGGGCTCAAGCAAGTTACACCCTATTGCTCTCAGACCCCATCCGCTCTCCCTTGCTGAGAAGAGCCATGGAGGCCGGGCAGCCATCCATACTGTATAGTAAACTATTTAAGGAGACTGGGGGTTCCTGTGACAAACAGGACTCTGTTGGAATTAGTTAAGTTCAAAGTAACAGTTGGAATGGGCCCTCATATAACATAGTTATTTCCAAAGCATAAACACTCACATCCCAACAGGGGACCTCTGGTATCTTTCAGAATCAGCATTTCAAGCCTACATCTCCCCTCATCTGGCTTAACACTGGACAGATTGTTAAAGGCCACATGGAAGTTACGCCATGAAAACCAGGGAATAGAAATAAGATTAAGGCGGAGATTGTCCACACCAAGTTTCTATCGGGGAGGATGCTGCCAGCCACATTCTAGTCTGCTGAACACCAGGACTGATGACGATAATCCTGGCATACCCTGACCAGTCGCAGTGTTACGGGAGACCAGCGTACTTTCGGGAGGCGAGATGTAACAGTTCCCCAGCAAACACATGAACGACGATAATCCTGGCATACCCTGACCAACTGCAGTGTTACGGGAGACCAGTGTACTTTCGGGAGGCGAGGTGTAACAGTTCCCCAGCAAACACATGAATGACTTCGGTCACCATGGTGTCTCGGCTGCTGCTGTCTGCTGTAACGTAAATAAGCCCTTAACCAAATCCTGCCCTTGCCTTAATTTGTAGTAAAAAGCCAGCCAGAGCTGCACAAGGCATCTGTGTTCAATGGCTGCAGGGCCTTATCTGGTGCTAGTAGACAGTATCCATTCCTCAGGGAGGAAGAAGTACCCTTCCCTACCACTGCAAACCCCTCCTCTGAGGTCAAGTCCT